CCCGGCACAGCTCCCGCCGGTGCTGCCACGGGGGGCACGCGTGGGGGCAGGCAATGAGGGATCGGGGGCATGGAATGGGTTAAATGGGGTGGGATGAGATGGGATGGGATAGGATTGGGATTGGGATAGGATTGAGATTGGGATAGGATTGGGATTGGGATGGGTTTGGGGTGGGATGGACTGGGGTGGGACTGGGATAATGGGATGGGATTGGGATAATGGGATGGGATGAGGAGAGATGGGGTGGGATGGGGAGAGATGGGGTGGGATGGGGAGGGATGAGGCGGGATTGGGATAATGGGATGGGACTGGGATGAGGTGGGGTGGAATTAGGATAATTGGATGGGATGGGGAGGGGTGTGATTGGGATTAGGGTGGGTGGGATGAGCATGGGATCGGGATGGGGATGGAAAGGAACAGAATATCCCCCCCTCACCTCCTGCATGGCCTCGTAGGCGGAATCCGGGGATTGGGGGGTGTCCATGGCCACCTCCAGCATGGCCTGCCCCAGGATCGGGGGGTACACCGACATTCCCCACGTGTAGAAACCCCGCAGGACGCTCCGGTCCACGTTCACCAGGTCGAAAAATCCCGCCCGGAACCCTCCCCTGGGACACAGCGAGATGGGAAGCACCGGGAAAGGGGCGGGAAAGGGCGGGATTTGGGGGAGGGATTTGGGGGGGCGGATCCCACTCACCCCGCCATCCCTTTGGACAGGGAGTAGAAGGAGATGAGCTGGACCGAGGAGGAGAGAGGAGCCCCCGCCTCCCCCAGCACCCGGCGGAACGACAGGAACGGCCGCGAGGGGTCAAAACAGCGTTCCTGCTGCACCTGGAATGGGATAATGGGCATGGGAATGGGAGAATGGGCATGGGAATGGGATAACGGGGATGGGAACGGGATAATGGGGATGGGAATGGGATAATGGGAATGGGATAATGGGGATGGGAATGGGATAACAGGGATGGGAATGGGATAACAGGGATGGGAACGGGATAATGGGGATGGGAATGGGATAAT